CACACACTGGAATACAACATACTATTTATTGGAACGATTATTAGAGCAAAAGCGAGTTGTCTCGTTGTATATAACTGATCATGATCATTCTTTAAACATTTTAACACCTTCTCAATGTGAGCTAATGAAACAATGAATAAAACTTCTCAAACCGTTCAAAGAAATTAGAAAAATAACCAAATTGGGAATTTCTTGTATTTCTGTGGTATCTCCACATGTTGTCACGTTGTTAAAATACATGGAGTAGGAAGAGACAGCACAGAGAACACCAAATTTCTAAACTATCAGATCTTTGCTTCAATCTGAACCTGAAGGGCGGTTCAACTTTAAAAAGACAAATATCTGGTAGCAACCTTTTTTTGCGCTTCAAAACTAATTTCTTAATTATAATAAAAACACATAGAACAAAGCAAAAAAGTCTTTTAGAAGCTTATCCTTAAAAAAAAGTTTTGAAGTGTCTATTAGCAACGATGATAACTCATCTTCACTTCAGAAGAAAAAAAAATGACAATCAAAATAATAAAACAATTAAGATACCCAATAGTTTCTGAAATTTTTTTAAGGAAGTTGCTAAAGAAAACAGGCACACTAATGAAGATGTCGAACAGAAAAGTTCAAAAGCAAACAAAAATGATTTATTCATGAAAACTGTTTGTCTAGATCGGAAAGCAGACCCGTACAAATGGTGGTCAGCCAATGCAAAACAATATCCAACTTTAGCAGAATTTACTAATATTTATTTATCATCTTTGGGTAGTAGTGTATATAGTGAGCGGGTATTTTCGAAAGCAGATATAATTTACGAGGAAAAATTGTTTTCTTTTATTATAATTGGAAATTATATTGAAAGAAAACAATTTTTCATTTTATTTTCTAACATTATGTTAGAAAATATAATTTTATACATTTTTTCTATTTCCAATATTAATCTAACGTTACTACGACCTAAATAACAACGTTATAACACGCTGTTCCAACGTTGGTATGTTCACTTGGTATAATGGACACGGAATGTTCAAAGACAATCTTAAATCACAAGTTTTTATGCATAAATCAAAATAAAAGTTAAAGTTCATTAAAGTTGGTATCTTTTGAAGGTAAGGTTTATCAATGTTAATATCAATGATAATTTTAAAACCACAAATATTACAATACCTCATAACTTTTATCACGCGGATACAAAAATACTTGACAAAAAATGCTGAAAAAACCCAATTTAAATCATATAATGCAGATTTTTTGATCATACACATAAACATATGAAGTATTAACACAAATATTGACAAATTAAAAAGTAATTTGTCAATATTTGTTTTAAAATGTAATTATTTATTTAGCAGTATTTGTCTTACGGAAACATCGTGTACTGACAAGTTTTCACAAATAAATTTAAATTTTCATATTTTTAACTACAAAATGATTTCTTTTGAAAGTAAAATACTTAAGAGGGGAGAAAGATTTATAAGGTATATTTGGAATGATTTAGAAGAAAATATTAGAAACAACCTTTCATTTTTTAACGCAGACTGTGAGGCTCTTATATTTGAAATTCAGAAAAAGCAAAAGATTCTAGTAACTACTTGTCACACACCACCTGACTGCTACGGATCACCTGACTGATACAGACCACCTATCTGCTACGGACCACCTGATGGCAATTTTATTAAATTTTCTAACTACTTGAATCAGGTTTTTATTAAAACTAACAGTAAATAAAAATTATTTTGCACAGGAGACTTGAACATAGACTGTTTAAAATACAATGAACACGCCAACATAAAAACCTTCTTTGATGATTTACTTTAGCACACTATGCTGTCATTAATAAACAAACCCACCCAATTTACCTCAACTTCAATTACTGCCATAGGTTTTATACTAACAGACTCATTTTTCAAAACAGACATATCAGATCTTTTCCCAATTTTTTTTTGCACAATACTCAACCTCATTAAGCAATGCAAAAATCAGGACATAAAAAGGAAAAATTGACAGATCTTCTCTTTGTAAATATAAAGAATCTTTATCAAAAACAAATTGGTCTACTTTTTATGTTCAATGTAACCAAGGGCAAACAAACACTGCCTATAACACCTTTATAAATATTTTCCTTGAAGAATACAAAAAGCACTTTCCACTTACAGAAAAAGAAATAAAAATTAAATACTTGAAATGTCCATTGATTACTGAAGAAATAAAAAAATCCTTTAAGAAAAAAAGTTATACAATAAGTATTTAAAAAATAAGAATTAAAAAAATCTTACCATGTATAAAAAGTACAAAAATCTTTTTGAAACAATTTAGAAAAAAAACATGGGCTATTATGAACAAAACTAGTGGTAAAACTAAATTAAAATCAAAAACTTTACTTTCCAGAATTGAGGAAAATGGATTTGAGTATACAGATAAAGAAACTAACTCCGAAAAATTTAATAATTTTTTGTAAATATGGCCCAAACCTAGCATCACAAATAAAAAACTTGAACAAATTATTTAATAACTATTTTACTGACCATACTAGCTTACTTCCTGAAAATGATCTTAAGTTAGAGGAATTCAACGAAGCAAAAAAATCATTTAAAAAAATAAAGCTGTAGGCATCAATGATATTTCCGGCAATGTAGCAATATATATGTTACCCTTTATAAAAGATCCTCTTTTTAATTATTTTAACTCATCAATTCAAATAGGAGTTTTTCCGGAAAAATTAAAAAAAGCGAAAATTGTACCAATATTTAAAACTGGAGACTGGGCGTCATTAACCAATTATAGACCTATCTCAATTCTTCCAATATTTTCCTAGCTTCTGGAAAGAATAATCTACAATAGACTCTACAAATGTCTAACAAAAAACAAAGTTTTAAGTGAATATCAGTACGGTTTTCTAACGAGTCATTTAACGGAACATGTAATCATAGACCTCATGAACAACATCAGCTCATCTTTTAATAAAGGATAGTTTGTATTGGGAGTCTTTACTGATCATACAAAAGCTTTTGATACGGTCAACCATAAAATTCTGCTTGAAAATATGAAAAAATATAGTATAAAAAACAAAAGTATTAAATGGTTCACCAACTATTTCAATTATAGGCAAGAATGTACCATAATTGACTGTATTTCTAATTCAAAGCTTTTTAAAATAAAATGTAGTGTTCACCAGGGATCAAATCTTACCCCCCTGTTATATCCTAGAAATCTTGGTTTGCTTTTCAAAGCTAGACTTTTATAAAAAAAAAATTTGAAAGTCATCTTGCATAGTCATCTTTCACACGCTAACATTGCTTGGGAAAGTACACACAAGACAAAATTAATGTCTTGTGTGTACGACGGGAGAAACATGCTTCTATAATAATACACTATAAAAACAAACATACACATGCTAAACTTCAAGTTAATATCTATGCTATTATACTATTTGTGCATAAAATACAAAATGGGATTAGTCTCTTCATGGTTTACAGAAAATTTCTTTTATTCAATTACCTATAAGTTTAACACATGAGCAATTGGTAACTTTATTGTCTGCCCCCCCCCCCCCACCCCCAAAAAAATAAAAAAGCACACAGTTCTCTATTTTTTATCGCGGCCCCTATATATATAACAAATTAATTACAAAAAACACCGTAATAACTCTTCCTAACAATATATTTTCTTTAAAATCAAAACAAAAAAACCTTGTTCTAAATATAGATAATTAAATAGAATTGACAACACATGACAACAGTTTCATTAAGGCGCATAAAAGAGACGCAGATGCGTGAGTTATTAAGTTAAGATGTGTGAGTTATTAAGAGAAAGGAAAACAAACCAGCATAGAACGACGCAAGATTTATGCTCTGTTGAAAACTGAGGAATACCTTTGACTGTTCCAAACTGTGACAACAAAAGATTGGATTGGATGTTGCGCAAATGATTATGATTTTCGTTGTAAACGCCGTTTTTGATCACTAGTCGAGTTAGTAAAAAACGTAACGTCTGTTTACGTGGATGATATTTTAATTGACAAGAATATAGTGATTCTTTTCACGAAAATTTTTGAGAAAAAAAAAAAAAAATTCAAAAAATTTTTGAATAACATTTGAATTATGTGTTTGCAAAGTTAGTGACGAACTGATGTAATCTAGAGAAAATCAAGTAGAAGTAACCCAGAAAAAAATTACTAGAAGAGTAAACGTCTTTTGAACGTTTTGGACGTCTTTTGAACGTTCAAAAGATGTCTTTTTTTGGTCCGGTGCCCACTGGGTAACAAAATAACACATCGATATTTTTAATATTGGTAGGTTATTTACCAGTGTATGATTAATTAGAAATTTTTTGATGTCTTTTGAACATGTCATTAGTTCAACAAAAAGTTGGAAATAAAAAGTTTGTAATGAGAATGTGAAGTGTATGCTTAGGTTAAAAGTTGCGAGCCAGCTTGTAGTGATAGGGCTCTGCATAACAATGAGGAAAATATGTAGGTTGATGCAAGATTCTTAGCAATCGGACAATTTCTCAAATGTAAAAAAATTAAACTGCAGCCAAAATAAAAGTCCGAAGTTCATGAAAGCGTGGCTGAGCTAGACGCAGAAGTGTGAGGAGATAATATGGGTGTGATGTGGCAGTTTTTAATATTCTTTGACAGTATTCCACTTTTTTTTTTATCTTTTGTGAAGGCGGATTTAGAAGTATTAGAAGATCACGAGGCAACATTTCATACTGGATAATAAGAAAGAAACCATCGCTCAATAAAAAGAACAGCAAAACAATTGAAAGTTTTAATACCGGAGGCAGTATATTGGTCCAATGTTGCTGTCTACAAAAAAAATGTAAAAACGATAGACAAAATATTTAGTTATCAAACTAGTATAAAGTGGTTAAGAAAAAAAATCTTTTAACAAAAAATGGCACATACAAAAAATATATAGCTGGCGATAAAGTTTATCCCAAAAAAAGAGAATAAACATTTATTTTTTTATTTAAAAAGAATTTTTTTTTTTAAATCTATATTTATTTACCTGCATTTGTTAGATTTACAAAACAGTCTTTTACTTCATTTTTGATACCAGAACACCATGGTAAAGCATAATATGACATATTGCAATCTCTTGAACGGTTCATTAATCCAAAACCGTATGCAGCATTACAAACAGACCAATTGCCCCACGAGGACCAAGCACCTAAAAAAAGTCAAGACAATAAGTATTATGAAACTAAAATTCATGAATAAACTATATTAACATATATATATATATATATATATATATATATATATATATATATATATATATATATATATATATATATATATATATATATATATATAAATATGTATATATATATATATATGTATATATATATATATACATATATATATATATATATATATATATATATATATATATATATATATATATATATATATATATATATATATATATATGTATATATATATATATATAAATATATATAAATATATATATATATATATACAAATATGTATATATATATATATATATATATATATATATATATATATATATATATATATATATATATATACATATATATATTTTTTTCCCGCCGCCTTTAACAGCAATCCTGATTGGCCCCCCAATTTTTCTATAATTACATTGAATGTTCTTTTTTTTTTTAAGAAATTTTTTTTACTTGGCGCCCCTTAAATATCTGCTGCCCGACACAAACTGTCCATTTTGCCCCCTTCACGGCGCTGTTAGTTTAAAGAATAAAATAATCTAAAAAGATTTGAGCCTGGGCAAAAGAGGGCGAACTTATTACTAAAATTTTCACTTAAGTTACGTTAGACGGAAAACAAATTAAAAAAATTTCTAGGTCAGACTTCTGCGAATCAGTAAAACGGTTTGTATTAGAAACTTTCTCAAGATATTGGGAATTTATACCAATTTCTAAATTCTCCTAATATAAATGGTTTCAGTTAAAACCTTGCCAAACCAAAGCGACGAAATAAGAATTATTTAATGACGTAATTCGTTTTGTTAACGAATGATTAGTAAATGCATATAGTTTTCACTTACGTTACATAAATTTAAAAAAAAAAATGCCTGGGCCAAGTTTGAGATTGCAACATTTTGTCTCAAGGCAAAGACTAAGATCAAGACTGAATGTACCAAGACCAAGTTGTCTAATCAAGACAACTTGGTTTGACTTGTCTTGTCAAGACCAAGACATCAAAAAATTAACCCAATCATCAGCCGTAAACACAAATAAAAAAACGTAAACAACCGCCATCAAATTAACTTGAGTAAAAAAAAAAAAAAAAAAAAAAAGCCATCGTATTTTAATTGTTTCCTGTTTCAAATAGGGTAAAGTGACCAAATTCCAGCCGCATCTTTACAAAATTGTTTCTACAGACATATTAACAAAGAGGTCTATATGAAAATTATACATTTCTAGAAAGATAAATCTTTCAGCATTTAGGATATAATTACAGCAATTATTATAAATAAAAAATGTTTGATAAAACAACGATTACAAAAAATATATAAATTTGACCAAAATACAGCCACTATGACCAAATTTCAGCCAGGCGTATGCGGAATGAACCTAATTACAGCCAATATAAATAACAAGCTTTTTATAATACTTTTATGGGTTGGCATTTAAAATATTTTAAAATTAATTGAATTACTAAATATTGAACCAATAATTTTTTTGATGTGATCTTAAACATCAGTTAGAAAATGATTTCTTAACTTAATACTAAGCATTCATCAACAAATAAACTTAGTAAAGATGCCTAAATCTAAAAAAAATAAGTTTTCAGGACATGATTTTAAAACTATTCAAAAATGATTTTGAAACTATTTTAAAAGATTTGCATAGAATATAATATTCACATTAAAAAAAAAAGAATTCAGTGAACTCTATAAAAGACTTTTTTAAACACTAAGAACAAAAATTCATAACAACATGATCAAATTACACATTGCATTTTTATAGCAACGGTTTTTTTCTAGGATTATCTTTTGACAATACCGTTGCTTCCTTTATTTTTAAGTTTTGTAGTCTTTTCAATTTACGCATTTCTTTTTCTTTTTCATTTTGAGCTTGTTTTTGCTTCTGCTTTAACTGTGACTCATATGCTTCCTTAGAAGTAAGCACAAAAAACTTGTCTGCATTATTAGCTTTTTTGCTCTTTGTAAAATTTGGATAAGAATATGGCAAAATGTCATTATCTCCATCTCCTGGATAAGATGAATTTTTAAAGGGGAAATTTGGAGCAAAAGATCTAGTTTTTGCAAAATCAGAAGCTAAAAGAGTTGAAACTGTAAAATCAACTTCATGCTGATCAATAGGCTGTTCAATTTCAGAGTAAGACATAATCCTAAAGCTGTCTTGAAACTTACTAGTAGCTTTATTACTTGCAGCTTTTAGTTCTATAGTTTTCATATTTAGTTCCACTAAATCATCACTCCTATGTTCTACTACGATTATTGGTTCAGCTAAATAGTCGTGATCATTTGCTACAGCAAATCTTGGGTTGGTAATTAGATGTTGTTCCAACTCAATATCTGGTAAAAGTACTTTTGTGCTGTCTGTTGTTTGCTTAATCTGCTTAACTATTGTTGTATTATCAACTGTTTTAATTGATCAAAGAGATTAGTCATTAACCTGTCTTCAGAATACACATAGTTTGGCAAGTAAGCTTCAGCTGGAATAATTGAAGGATTATATGGAAAGATTCCACATGATTTAAAGCCAGATTCAATATTAGCTTTTGTCATACTTTTATTCTAGGCTTTGGTTAAAAGTCCTGTAAAATTGGCCTTGTTTATTATAACCTTAGGGTGATTAGACATCATATCCTGGGCTGCTTTATTATATGAAACTTTGAATGGCTTAAATACAGTTCGATCACAAAGTTGAAGCCAATTGGTTGTATGAATAGGTAATTCAACAATTTCAATTCGGTTTTGTATGGCCATATCTATTAACTCTACGAAATTATGGGAATCGTGGCCATCTAAAATTAAAACTTGTGGACGTTGTGGTCCAATATTTTTTTTAAATGTCAGCTCAAACCATAGTTTTGCAATCCCTTGTTTAGTCCATCCAGATTCACTTGGACTCCAGTTGGTTCCTTCAGGGGCATCTAGAACTTAAAAACTTTGAAGGGATTTTACTGTCTTTTCTCTTGGAATCACATGAGGTGGTAAGGCTCTTCCTGCTGCATTCACACAAACAATTAAAGTAATCGTTTCTCGATTTCCACTTGTTCTCATATGTAAATATTTTGTACCTTTTGTAGCAACTATTTTGTGCGCCTTAAAGTCTAGCTGCAGTCCTGTCTCATCCATGTTCCATATTACTTCAGGCTGACAGTCTTTAATGACTTCTTTAAGTGCAGTAAAATAATTTGCCACCTTTATCAGATTCATGCATTTATGACGAACTGATGCTGTTGATTCTGATTGTCGAAGAGTTACTTTTTTGTTATGTCGATTGTTAAGTAGTCGCCACCATTTATTAGATGGTTTGCCATTCTTAAAAGAATATCCATATTTTTTGGCAAGCTTGCCAGCATATACCAAGAATTGTTCTTTTCCAAAAGCAATCCCCATCCTAGCTCTGTTGTCTGCAAAATCGAGTAACTTTTTTTCAAGATCAAGCGGCATTAAACGTTTTCTTCCTGCTTTTGCACCAATCTCAACTTTTCCATTTATCCTGCTCTGCAAAGTTGCTCGGGGTACTTTAAAAAATTTAGCAGCAGCTCTAACAGACATTTTAGGTGAACTAACAACACTGTTTATAGCTTCAAGTAACACTTCCTCTTTATATTTCATATATTTACCTCGAGTTGGATGACATTGTTTCTTATTATAAATTTTATTTTTATTATCAGCCATTCTAAAATGAAAACTTTATATTATAAATTATTAAAATTTTCAATTAAAGATTATTTTTTAATATAATTTCATTTACAAGTAATAATTTACATGAAACAATATAATATCTTTCAATTATTTAGACCTTTGTTTATTTTTAAGTCATCATCCTCAAATTTTAAAAATATTATATAAATATTTAACTAAATAAATGCAATTATTTAAGATTGATAACTTTTAGGACATAAATGTAACATAAAGTACTTATATTAAAAGAATAAAATCTAATAATATAAATATCATACAAGTATGAGTTACTTTTAGACACTCGTGAACCTAATTTCGGCCTTGGCCGGAATAAGGTTTATACCTGGCCGGATTTCGGTCTTTCTACCAGGTGCAGTTAATTAAGAAATACAGTCTATAGTAATGACTCAACATAATTATAAAGCTAAAATTGTCTTTTTAAGAAATATATTTATAGTTTAAAATAATTAACATTTCGTTAAGTAATAAATATTTAATATTTATAAGCTTCAAACTGGATGCTTACATGATATTTTAAATATAAAGTAGTACTTTTTTAAGATAAATATTTTTTATGATGTTAATTCTATTATAAACAGCCGCCAAATATAACAATGCTTTTTTTAAATTGGCTGAATTCATACCAGTCTCAAAAAAGTAGCATTTACAAACATAAAGCAGAAAACAAGACAGAAATAATAAATTTAAAATGTGTCTGGAATTTGGTCACTGGCTCGAATTTGGTCAGTTTACCCTAAAGATTTCCTGTTTCAAATTAATATTTTCAAATAAAGAATTTTTTCGTCATCAAGATACAATTTTTTTTTTTTTTTAATTTCGTAGGTTTTTACCATTATGCGATTAAGTTTCATAATTTTCGAGACAAAGGCTTTTTTTGTTTTTAAATTTCAGTGTTTGCAACGTTTGATAATTTCTCACTTAAAATAAACTTACATTTTTTTTCTTTTATGTCTCTTATTACTTTAAAGAGTTCTGTGTCATTTATATATTGTATTGATGCAAAAGATTTTAGATGGTTAGCGTATCTTTATTTGAATGGCGTTAAAATAATTCAAAAATGCACTTTATCGCTAAATCCGTGATCACCTGAACCTACAGTTATTTCATTGACAATATTGTTGGACAATAACTATTTAATTGAAAAAATGCTTTATCTTGGTTTGGTATTGCTTGAGCGAAACTGCAGAATACCCAATATTTATTATATATTGCTTGGTTTTTAATTGATTTTAGTCGTCCAAAATTTTGCATTTATGCGAATTTATAATGGACTTTTGTATGTAGCTAATCTTGATAGAATTTCAATTAAATATTTTTAAGTTGCTTGTGGTCGGCTGGAAAATACAAGTTAATTTAAGCTAGAAAAAGAATTTCCAGTTTTTGTTTTGACATTTTGTTGTTCGGAGGGTTATGCAAATTATATTACGTTTACGATGTGTTTTTTTCCGGAAGTAATTATTATTGGTCGGGAAACTTCATGTTATATCCCTTTTTTGTAATATACCGATATTTTAGATTTCTTATAGTAGATTAAACTTTTTAAAAACAGTTTCATTTAATGATATTAAAGATGATTTCTGTTCAATGTTGCAATGCATTGATATAATTATGCTTAGAGAGTGATCAGAGTTTCTTATTTATATTTAATTTAATAATGAGATAATTAATAATTTTGATGTTAGATTAAATGGTAATTAATAGATTGTAACTTTTAAAAACATGTTTTATATGGTTTTTGAATTAAATTATTTATAGAAAATTAGGTCTTTATTGAAGTTCAGGGATATGTATGTATGAATGTATGTATGTATGTATGTATGTATGTATGTATGTATGTATGTATGTATGTATGTATGTATGTATGTATGTATGTATGTATGTATGTATGTATTTATGTATGTATGTATGTATGTATGTATGTATGTATGTATGTATGTATGTATGTATGTATGTATGTATGTATGTATGTATGTATGTATGTATGTATGTATGTATGTATGTATGTATGTATGTATGTATGTATGTATGTATGTATGTATGTCTATTTATTTATAGATACATACATCTATACATTCATACATACATACATACATAAAAATTTTATAAACAATAATATACCGACCCTCTGGTTTACATTGGTAGAAAATGTTGGCGTATTTTGTGAAGCCACTACATGGATCACCATATAGATCTACAGTGGATTGAACAACACAATTAGCTTTTCCGTCACATACATTTTGAACCATTTCAGTAATATTTTGTGAACAATTTTTTAAATTCTTATTTTGACAATATGGACAGTTTGAAAGAGTTGGACTGAATGTAGCACTCTCAATTTTTATCAAAGTTTGTACTGGACATTTTATTTCGCTCGAAGTCCGTTCAATTATCGAAGCTGAAATAAAAAATAAAAAAAAAGTATATCAATTTATTCAAAAAAATAATTAAATTAAAATTTAAAGATTTTTTATTTTACATTTATTTTGCTGTTTCATTATTAATAATCAACGAAGAAGACAGATTAAACTTCTGACTAAACACCATTTTTGTGCATTATACATTTTTATTATATAAAGAGTTTAAGAGTTAAGGCTTCAAAAGTTGAGGACAAAAATACGTCATCGCAATCTTTATATAGTTCCCCAGAAAACATTTTCCAATCATTTAAAATAAACTTTTATAAAAAACAATAATAAGCAAAAAAATATTTTGCATTGGGCACATAAACATAGAATGTTCACAATATGACAGATGTCAATACTAAACTTTATTTTGATAAAATGCTTCAACAATTGTTGAGTTAGTATGGTCTATTGCATTGATTGAAGATGGTTATTCTAAGAAGAAGAAGTTATTCGAATAACTTTATCTTCAATCAATGCAATAGAAAATATACTAACTCAATATCTTTCTTTATTTAAAAGCAGGAATAATAAAAACAGATATACACTGCGTAACATAATTATGACGCCCCAAAACAATTTATAAAACTCTACTATATAATTAAATGTAAAAACTAATTTTTATTGTTAATGAAAGCAAAAGGTTAACAACACTAAACATTATTTTAACAAATTTATTTTAAAGATAACTCGTATTTTATAAAAAAAACAACCGTTTTTTCAATGCGACAACAATTTTACAAAAAATGTTTTATTTGAAAACCGCAGTTGTGGGTAATTATTTGATGTAAACACCGCAGGTGTTTACATCAAATAATTACCCACAATATAGTTTGCTAACTGACTAAATAGTTATATACAATATAGTTCGCTAAATAATTACAAACAATATAGTTCGCTAACTGACTTGAAATCATCAAATCATTTTGTTTTTCGGCAAGATAATGCTAGCGTTCATACAGCTAAGATAATAAAGGAATTTTTCAACAGCAGTAAAATTGAAACATTGAAGTGACCAGCTTGATCTCCAGACCTGAACATTATTTAGAATGCTTGGGCACAGCTGTCACATATAGTGTTTGAAGGTGGTAAACAATATAGTTCGCTAACTGACTTGAAATCATCCATCACATCTGCATGGGATGCAATTGACATTTCGTACCTAAAAAAGTTGTATGATTTTTTTCCTTTTAGAATGATTGAAGTGATTCAAAAAAAATGGTAAAAGTACCCACTATTAATTTTTTAAAATTGAGACGTCTTTTTTTATAAATCACAGTTTATATGAATTTTTTCCAAAAGTGTTGTATAATTTTGTCGAACTAAAACAACAGTTTTTTTTTAAATAAAATGCGAGATAGGGTAAAGTGGGGTAATGACGAACAGCTAAGCGGGAATGCAAATTAAAGACAATTATTACTATATGTTAATGATATTTATTGCTTATTATTTAGTCTAACCATTCGGTTAGAAACACTCAAAAGCAATTTTCATTTTATTAAAAAATAAAAAATTAAATCAATAACAAAACTTTTGGTGTTTGGAATTACTCTACGTACGTGGTTTGGTGTTTGGAATTACTCTACGTACGCGGTTCGGTGTTTGGAATTATTCTACGTACGTGGGGTAATTCCGAACATACCGTGGGGTTTTTGCGAACACTATTACCTAATAACAAATAAAATATTGATCAAAGCGAATCAAACTTGATTGAAGCGTTAAAATATTATTGAATAAAATATTTTAAACAAATCAAACGTTAAAGAAACAAATATCCATAAATTTTATTCAAACTAAATAAAATGTTACATGAATAAAATGTCAAATATCAATAAATGTTATTCATAAATTGTTACATCCATTAATTAAGTGCAAAGATCACAGAGAAAACCTCTAGATGTGCTTGCACAACTTGTGCAATTCTCGGTGGACCAAGACTTACATTTGTAGCACATAATCTAGTCTTCCGTGGGGGATCATGATACATTTAAATGAATACATGAAATAAATCCTCTGAACATGCTGAAGTTTTTTAGTCTTTTATATATATGATATAGTAAAAAAGACTAATCTATTTATTGTATTTAAGTAGCTTCACCTTCTCTGCAAGGCGATCAGGATACTTTTTAATACTATAGTATCAGAAAGTATGTGTTTGTACATTTACCTTCTGTATACAGAAGTTAAAAATACGAGTTGAATACAAAACTACATAAGTGTTTTTTACTAATTTATTAGTGCTCTATTCTTTATACGCATTTGAGAGCATTGAGAACTTTATTTGTGAATTATAATAACATAATTTACACGCACACATATGTAAGTACAATATATATATATATATATATATATATATATATATATATATATATATATATATATATATATATATATATATATATATATATATATATATATATATATACATATATATATATATATATATATATACATATATATATATATATATATATATATATATATATATATATATATATATATATATATATATATATATATCTTAATGGATATGCTAAGTCATTTGGAAAAAAAAACCTAATTATGTTGCATAAAACATCTATATATAGTATTAAAGGTCTATAAAAACTATATTGCACAAAACTTTATTAAATTGCATGAAACGAAAAAAAATCTAATTATATTGCATAAAACGTCTAGCAATTTCGTTTAACAAATTTCTTTTTAATTGCTTTATTTTTTTAAAATGTTATGTTATATTTTTATATTGTTTTTTTGTTTTTGTTTTTCTTGGATTTCTTAGTTTTTCCTCCATACTTCCTTTTGTAATTATGCAAAAATAAAAGTGAATCCTCTCTTTTCTCTACTTTTCAGGCAAGATAAGTTATGTCTTTTATGAGTTTAACGGTTTTTTCCAAGCAATCATTAACAACTGAAAGATTAAAAACTGCCTCCTGAAATTTTAAGTAGAAATTGTTGAAAGTTTAATATTCTGGGTGGGTTTTCATCCGTTGACAGTCACTTTTACTTTGGCCCATCATAAGGAACAATAGGCACGAATTTTCTGTGCCCAAATGAACTAAGCTGGGAGGCTTCAGTCTACTGAAGTCTAAAGTATATATATATATATATGTATGTATATATATATATATATATATATATATATATATATATATATATATATATATATATATATATATATATATATATATATATATATATATATATATATATATATATATATATATATATATTTCATACTTTTTAAATTAACGAACAACGTTATAATGCATGATTACGAATTAAGCTATGACGAATTTGAGGCAGCTTTTGCCTCTTTAAAAAAAAAAAGCACCAGGATTTGATGAGATACCTAGTGATATAATTATTGAAAACAAACACAATCTTAATAGACCTCTGATACATGTATTAAAGGTCTCGTTAAATTCTGGTATTTTTCCGGATGTACTTAAATTATCAAAAGTAACTCCTTTATACAAATGTAATGATCATTCTGATATTACAAACTACAGACCCATATCAATACTTCCTGTATTTTCAAAACTCTTCTAACCTGTAGTTTATAATTTTTTTTTTTTTTTTTTTTTCTTTCTCTGTTTACATAACATAAGAATTTTACGAATTCCACTACATAATATAAAATTTAACAAAACAAGAACTTTTCATAGAACCTAGAAAATAGAAGATTTAATTAAAATATCGTAATAAGACATACAAATTCAAAATGTCAATAAAATATCATAACAAAATGCGTAATCCGCTAATAAAATTTGTCAAGCAACAAACAAAAGTAGAAACAAAACAAAAACGTATTTAAGAGAATTTATCCAATGCATTTTCAACAAAAAATGTTTCACAGGTTTTAAAGATTTCTTTTTTTGTTAAAAACTTGAATGAACTTAATGAACTCACCGTACCTTTGAACCCTTTTTGAAAAATATTCCATACTTTTGGACCTCGATATAAAATACTGTATTCTGAATATTTATTTATTATCCTAGGCAGTTTATATGAGTTCAACATTTTCGCTCTAAGATTATAGTTATCATTTTTATTTAACTCAAACTTATTATTAAAGCTTATAGGAGAGATATTGTGATTGTAACGATACATGAAAATTAAATGCTGGTAGATATTTATTTCAAATACATTCATCATTTTCATATCTTTCATCAAGGGATTAGCGTGCTCCCGCCTATTTTAAAGTAAATGATTCTACAGGCATGTTTCTGAAAACTTTAAAGTTTTTTTTAAGTACTTGCCCATAAAATGTTCACATAGCTGATAAGGCTGTGAATTAGCCCAAAGTAGATTAATTTAAGACTATTTGTATTGATGTACGAGCGAACTCGATACATTAAACTTATGATTTTGGTAATTTTTGACTGGATATATATTATATGAGGAAGCCAGGATAATTTTTCATAAACAACGATTCCCAAGAATCTTATATTTGATTGCTTTTTAATTAATTTATCATTTATAAATAGGTTCGGCAACTTGAGAGGAAGATTTTCTTTTTGTGTTTTTTTATGAAAAAGTATATAGTTTGTTTTCTCGGCATTAAGTGAGAGCTTGTTAACCCAGTAAGCACAAAGACGTTTAAAAGACGTTTTAAAGATGTCTTTAAGGAGATCTAAAAGGCGCACTTGTAGACGTCTAGATCATAAGGCTAAAAGACGTCTAAATGAAGACGTCTTTATAAAAACGCGTTTTAGACGTATGTTAGACGTTTTTTTTAAGATAAATTTAAGTTCATGACGTACCATTTTCGCGTAGTTTGTGGTATATATTGATTGTATTTATAACATCATAAATTGTTATAATTTCGTATATACAAAATATACATAGGAACCAGTAATCAAAATAATATTGCTGTAAACACCACCAACGGTTGATCAAAATTGAAAACAATAAATAACAATAACAAAAATATATCAAAACAGAATTTAATATATTTATAACTTATCTTTAGTTGTATTAAAATTTAACATACATATTGGTAGCTGATTTTTGACCGCATACTTGACTTATTATATGGCTTGTGGGTCTATAAAAACTAAAAGTACTGATATTTAACTTATATATTATTCTTGCCATTTTCACTTATTATCATGATCAGTCAACTATCTATTAAAAAAGCAAAATAATTATTAATAAAAAAAAGATATATTATTATTATAGCAATTATTTTAGTGATTCCTGTGACAACAATTTTAGCAATTGTGTAAAAAAGTAGTTTAATTTAAAGTAATTTACACTTAAAACTTGAACAAACTATTGAAAATAATAAAAACTATGTTTTTACTTTGAATATACGACATCTACTTAACGCGTAATGACAAAGCCGTCAAAAAGAAGTCATAATGACATATTTATAAACAGGTCTCAGAAAAGATGTCTTTTAGCTTTGATCTAGACGTCTTTCAATGCGTATTTTAGACTATTTATTACGCGTCTTTTAAACGTATTTTTAAACTTTAAAAAGACGCATTTTAAACGTCATGTTAAAATTGCATTTATTAAAGACGTCTAGAAGATGTCTTAAAAAAAGATATCTTCTAGACGTTTTTTTAACGCTTAAATAGACGCCTTTTGAACGTCATTTTAAAAACGCCTTTATAAAAGACGTCTAGAAGATGTCTTTAAAACGTCTATAAAAGTGCGTCTTTACCTAGACTATTTTTAGACGTCTATAAGTGTCTAAAATGCGTCTTGTGCTTACTGGGAACCTTAAACCAGTTATTTACTTTATTTAGTTCAATATTCATGTCCGCATATAATTTCTTGATATCATTGTTGGTAAGAAATAAATTCGTGTCATCTGCAAACATGACTGAATTAAGTTTTGAGGATGCATTACAGAAGTCATTTATATATATTAAAAAAAGAAGTAGACCAAGAATCGATCCTTGCGGAACTCCACATATGTCATTCAACATTCCAGATTGGGCATTAATTACATATTGTTTTCTGTAATCCAATAATAAGTTTTATTAATTATTCCGTAATGTCTTAATTTATCTAACAGAATACAGTGGTCCACTGTATCAAATGCTTTTGATAAATCAAGAAATACTCCTAAAGTAAATTTGTTATTTTCAAAACTATTAGTTATTTGAATTACTATCTCAATGATTGCATGCTCAGTAGAGATATATTTTTGAAAACCAAACTGATTTGGGTAAAAAAAATTGTTTTTAATGAAGTAATCATAGATTCTATTATAAACTACGCGTTCGAATAGTTTTGAAAATACAGAAAGTACTGATATAGGCCTGTAGTTTGAAATGTCAGAATGATCATTACATTTGCACATAGAATCTATGATTACTTTATTAGAAACAACTTTTTTTACCCGAATCAGTTTGGCTTTCAAAAAAATCTTTTAACTGAGCATGCAATTATTAAAATAGTAAATCAAATAACTAATGGTTTTGGAAATAATAAGTTTACTTTAGGAGTATTTCTTGATTTATCAAAAGCATTTGATACAGTGGATCATTGAATTCTCTTAGATAAAATAGGGCATTACGGAATAGTTAATAAAACCTATGTTTGGATTAAAAGCTATCTTACCAATAGAAAACAATATGTACATAATGTCCATTTTGAAGTATTAAATGTTTTATGTGAAGTCCCGCAGGGATCAATTCTTGGTCCACTCCTTTTTCTTATATATATAAATGACTTCTGTAATGCATGTTTAAAACTGAATTTATTCATGTTTGCAGATGACACGAATCTATTTCTTACCTACAATGATATCAAAACATTATATGTTGACATGAATATAAAGCTAGTTAAAGTAAACAACTGGTTTAAAGCTAACAAACTCTCGCTTAATTCTGAGAAAACAAATTATATACTATTCCATAAAAAATACAAAAGGAAAATCTTCCTCTCAAACTGCCTAAACTATTCCTAAATGATAAACTAATTAAAAAGCAATCCAGTTAAAATTCTTAGGAATCATTGTTGATGAAAATTTATCCTGGGTTCCTCATATAATATTGTAAATCCCGTTAAAAACCAGATAAAAGAAATGGTGTTGTTATATTAGATAGGAAGGTTTATGACAACGGGATTTATAATATTATTAATGATCCAACTAAATTTAAACACTTAAAAAAAGACGTCACCGTTAATAGGGAAACGCAACTTCAAAACTTCTTAAGGAAACTAAAAACTCAAAGTTTCTTTGATGATTCAAGTTATAATAAAATTTATCCTACAGGCTCTCGTATTGCTCGCATATACGGTCTTCCGAAAATGCACAAATTAAAGTCTTTTGATTTTGATATACTTTTATGACCTATTGTATCGTCTATTGGCACTTATAACTATCATTTGGGTAGATTTATTCGAGATTTATTATCTCCATTAATACCCTCTAAGTTTTGTACTAAAGATTCTTTTACCTTTTTTAAAGAAGTAAATGAAGCGAACCTATTTAACAGTTTTCTTGTATCTTTCGATATCACAAGTTTATTCACAAACATTCCATTACAAGACATTAGATATTACTGTCGATGTTATCATAGAAAATAATATAAATCTTAAAATCAACAAAAGTAATTTAAAAAAACTCTTTCTTTTTGCAACAGCACAAAGGCATTTTCAATTTAAAGGACAGGTTTATGACCAAATTGATGGAGTTGCTATGAGTTCTCCATTAGCACCTGTACTTGCTAATCTGTTTATCAATAATTTTGAAGAAAAATGGGCCAAATCTTATAATAGAGAAAAATCGTTGTTTTACAAAAGTTATGTAGATGTCATTTTTGCTGCTTTCCCCTTAGAAAACCACGCAATTTTATTCTTGGATTATATAAACAAAAAACATTCTTCAATATCTTTCACCATGGAAAAGGAAGAAAACTCAAAAATATCTTTTTTAGACATAACTCTATGTAAATCGAGCTGTTCAACAATTACAACAGTTTTTCATAAAAAAACCTTTACTGAATTACACACCAACTTTTACAGCTTTACTTCGTTTTCATATAAAATAAGTCTTATAAAGAGCTTAATTGAAAAAACTTTCAAAATTAACAACACTACCCTTGGTCTCCGTAATGACATTAAAAATCTTTTCAAAATTCTCAAACGTAATATGTACCCATCTTGGCTAATAGAAAAATTTACTTTAATTTTGTCGTTCTATCACCATCTGAAGACCTTACAAACTTCCTTATATTGGTCGAATATCTGAGCTAACGAAACGAAGATTACACGCAATTATAAAGAGACATTGTAAGTCGGATACCGTAAAATTAGTACTCACTTCGTTAAAAGTGTCTAACTTTTTTCATCTAAAGATCACCTTCTTGTAGATTTTAAATCATTTGTCGTCTACAAACTTGTCAGTGCAGGATGTAAATCCTGTTATATTGGCAAAACCTCTCGCCACTTAAAGACGCGAGTGATTGAACACTACAGAAGGGATAAAAACTCTCTTATTTATAAACATCTTCACTCAAAAGAAAAATGTTTTAACAACTATAATGATGAATGCTTTTCAATTTTGGATTGTGCTAAAAAAAAAATGAATTGAAAATTAAAGAAAGCATTCATATAGGCTGGGAAAATCCCGATATGAATAAATAAGTAAACCACGTTAAAATGACTCTTATAATTTATTATGATTTACCGGTTTCTTTTGTTATATTTGACATTTGTTAAAATATTTTTAATAAATCTTTTTGTATATATAGGAAGTTTGTTTACAATTTTATGGCTTTTATTATGTTTATTTTTACAATCATATACTATATTTTATACCGTTTTTAACAAATATAATTAAACTGATGATGACTGTATATAGTCGAAAACAAGTCTTGAATAATAAAATGTTTTTAAATAAAATTAAAAAAATTTGTCTAATTTTTAAAAGTAATACATATATATATATATATGTATATATATATATATATATATATATATATATATATATATATATATATTAAATTATTAATATATATATATATATTAAACCTTTCGTGTTTTGAAAACTCAAAAAAAAACTTGGTTTGTTTTTGCCTTGGCATTTTATTTAGATATATACTAAAACAAGATTTGTACTAACACTTGGATCTAGACTCCACTGTTTAAATACTAGACTTTGGGGGGTCACCGGTTTTAAATGTATACTTTTTCTATAAAAGTCTAGATTTTATTTTAAGAGATTTTTATTTTTTTTTAAGTTTATATATATATATATATATATATATATATATATATATATATATATATATATATATATATATATATAATATATATATATATATATATATATATATATATATATATATATATATATATATATATATATATATATATATATATATATAACGGTTTAAAAAAATAACTTAGAATTCACTTACTATTGTTATATTGACATTTTCCCATTGTGATTTTTATCTAAAACAAAAATAATATAACACTTCATAAGTAAAAAACACTGCTGTATTTAGTGCTTATAAATGAACAAGGTGGGATTCGCAAAACTTTCTTAGCCGTAAGTTTGGCGTCAGTTCAAAGTAAGTTCAGGGTTAGGGTTAGGGTTCAAGTAAAGTATATGGTTCCGTTCAAAGTAAGTTTTAAACTTAATAATTTCGTTTTCACAAAACTTGCGCAGATGCTAAGTACACAACTTGCGAATCATTTTTCGTAAGTTCAGTTCCTTAAATATGGTACTAACAATTATCCTAATAAATTGCTCAACTAGATTTAAGCAAGAAAAGTTACGTTAGGTAGGAGAAACCGTAACTTTGGCGAAACTTATATATATTTGCGCAGCTAACATATAATGATTTTTTGTTAAGATCTGTGATAAGATTTTTAAAAATTTGTGAAAAATATAGTGTACCTAGGAAGAAAAGTTATATAGATTTTTATATAAACTTTTGAAACATATGGCCTATAGAGTTTCTGTTAACTTCTATAAAAATTCTTATTGAAGTTTTTTTTTTCTACTTTTATTTTTATAGAAAAAAAGTTTTATAGCAATTTCTATACCAATTAATAGACACTCTATAGAAATTCTATAGAAATTCTATAGAAATTCTATAGAAATTCTATAGAAATTCTATAGAAATTCTATAGAAATTCTATAGAAATTCTATAGAAATTCTATAGAAATTCTATAGAAATTCTATTGAAATTCTATAGAAATTCTATAGAAATTCTATAGAAATTCTATAGAAATTCTATAGAAATTCTATAGAAATTCTATAGAAATTCTATAGAAATTCTATAGAAATTCTATAGAAATTCTATAGAAATTTTATAGAAATTCTATAGAAGTTCTATAGAAATTCTATAAAAATTCTAAAGAGTTTCTATAGGCCATATGTTTCAAAAGTTTATAGAAAGTTCTATAGAACTTTTTTTACTTTTACTATATTCGAGATATCACGTATAGTGATTTTGCCGAATACCGTATATTCGGCTAGGAACTCAGCTGAAGTTCCGAATGTTCTGTGACACTTACTTATTTTCGAAGGTTCCGACCTGGTTCATTTAAGTAAATATGTTAACTAAGCAGTGTGCATTTATGTTTCATTTGTGACTAGGCCGTGTCAAAGCACGAATTATTTGTTGACAGGTACATCTAATTGTTTTAACTGTTTATGTAAAAAAGTAAGGTACATCTAATTGTTTTAACTGTTTAAGTAAAAAATCATGGTCTTCAAAAAAGTAGTTAGAGAAGTTGCTGTTGATAGATATAGCAAAAAGAACTCTAAACTTATTAAAAAGTAAAAAACTACAACCTGAACTTTAGTGGGTTTAACTTATTGATTAACTTTAATGGGAATGTCAATTATACGGTAGCCTTTTTTTATTGATGCGCCTTTTGAAAAATAAATTTCATGGGATTACTTAAAACACAAGGAGAAAAACACCAAAAAAGATTAAAAGCTCTGAGAAAGTTTCAATGCCATCAGAAAAAAATTACATATTTTTTTATTTTTATTTTTTTTTTATTTTTATTTATTTCGTCAGTAAAAAAAAAGAATACAATGCCGTGTAGTATAAATAAGATCTACATGACCGGGGTTAAAAGAAAACAATACTTGCCTTATCACTACACCCCGACGTGCTTTCATAAGCAAGCGTGTACAACCATTAAAAGTTAAATATACAATTACTTTGTGCCATTTAAAAAATTATATACAATTATTTACAAGTATGTTAAGACTAGTTACTAATCTATAATCAAAAGAAAATAGTAAAAAGAAATTAAAAAAAAAAAAAAATCAAAACTATAGATAAGCTAATAGGATAGTTTATAGAGTTAATAAGATAATTGTTAAAAATAAAGAAAAAATAAAAATAAAAAATTTTTTAAAAAAATTTAGTTCATTAACATCGTTAATAAGTTTTTGTTTCAATTTTTTTTTGAATAGGTAAAGAGAAGAACAATTTTTCAGCTCGTCACTTAATAAAGCGTTCCATAATTTAGGACCTCTTATAGCAATAGAAAATTTGGTAGCCAAATAATGCATTTTAGGTTGCTCATAATTGTACTTAGAAAATCTTGTAGGGTACATGTGATTAATTTTATTGAAAAATGTACTAAATATTACAGGTGATATTTTGTTATGAAGTTTGTACATAAAAATAAGAATTTGATAAAGGTTTAACTGAAAAACATTGAGTATGTGAAGATTATTAAATAGTTCTTTAGTATGTGTGAATCGACCTGCATTTGAAATAATTCTGACAGCATGTTTTTGTTTACTAAGCAGTTTTTTAATTTTACTTATATTAGAGCTGCACCAGGCAATGTTTGCATAGTTTATATAACAATGTATGAGGGAGAAATATAAAATTTTTAGGCAGTTTTGGTTTAAAAACTGCTTGGCTTTGAATAGTATACCAATATTTTTTGAAACTTTATTTTCTATTGTACTTATGTGTTCAAGTATCACTCCTAAAAATTTTATTGATAACTCTCTAATTATTTTAGAGTTGCCAATATAAAGATTAGGAAGTTTTAGTGGAATGTTTTCTTTATCGTGAACTCTATAAAAAAAAGTATACTTATTTTTTTTTAAATTTAAGGACAATTTGTTCGCCTTGAACCATTCCGCTAGATTTAAAAGTTTTTTGTTTACTATTTTAAATAAAAGTTTAATATCTCCATTAGAGTAAAATAAATTCGCGTCATCTGCAAATAAAACAGAGTTTAAAATGTTTGAAAACTTATGAAAATTGTTTACATAAATAAGTAATGAGGACCCAGAATTGAATCTTGGGGAACACCGCAATTTATTGTCATATAGGAAGATTTTCCTTCTTCGTATGATATGTATCGTTTTCTATTGTTTAGATATTAATATTGGGAGACATTAATCTCGATTGCTTTGAATATCACGTCAAAAAAAAAGTTAAAATGATTTATAATACTTTATTTGAAAAATTTTTAAATATAAATACTATACCAATTTGCTAGTTAAAATATAACCTAAGTTCTGAACGCACTATTAAACCACCAAACCGCCAAAATTATTAAAATAAACAAAGAACTTTTCGTTCTTTGTTTATTTTAATAATTTTGTATCTGTTGGCCCATATTTAGCCAAAAAAATTCAACTAACTGATAATTTCTTTCTTATATCTTTCTTTCCTTCTAACATCACATCTTAACTCCTTTGAGATAACTTTTGATGAATTTGAATGTGCTTTTAAAATATTCAAAACTAACAAAGCCGTTTGCCGAGATGATATCAATGAAAGCATTGTAATTAATTTATATGAGATTTTAAAAAAATCTTGTTTTTAGGATATTTTCATGTTTCATCAGACTAGGGATTTTCCCCAATAAATTAAAAATAGCAGAGGTTATACCAATATTTAAAGGAGGAGATTTAAAATTAGCAATTATTCTTCTATATCTATTCTTTCCGTTTTCCTAAATGTTTTAGAAAAAAGTTTAATAGTAAAATATATAACCACCTATTAAATAATAATCTTATATAACAACCAATATGGTTTCAAAAAAATAATAATAATAATTCTATGGAACATGCAGCTATCAAGTTTTCAAGAAGTATAACTAAATTGTGTGAAATTTCTCAATTTTACTTTGGGAGTTTTTAGCAATTGATACCATAGATCATGAAGTTCTTAAGGAGGGAGTTTTCGGTATTTGATCATAAAATTTTTATTGAAAAATTACAATATTATGCAATATCTGGTAATGTTTTAAAATGGATTACAAACTATCTAAGCAATCGCGAGAAAATTTGTCTGAGTTGATTGAAATTGGCATAGAATGATACAACATATGGAGTACCCCAAGAATTAACATTAGGACCCTTACTATTTAGTACTATACCATTTTATTTATTTCATATTTCTATATATTCATATAAATATTTTAATAAAGAACAGAAAAAAAATGCGTGAATAAAGTGTAAGGTGTAATAAAGAAAAGTAAAACTTATTAAGGAATAACAATTATAAAAAAAATCATTTTTAAAAAAATACACCTTATCTTCAATGGAATTAATTAAAAGAAAATTTTTTTTCTTAGATTTGACCTATTGGATATAAAACTGTTCCTTGGAAATTCTAAACTTTTTACGTCATCTAAATTTATTGAAACGCAAGAACATCAAAATAGTGGGGCTTTTTTCCTATAAATTGTTCCAATTGTTTTTTTCCTTAATACCTGTCAAATTTCATCCAAAAATTTGGATGCTCAAATGCACTTTTAGGCAGGGCCGTTCCAAAGAGGTCTTCCATGGGGGTGGGGGGGTGTATGTGTTTTTTCGCCGACTAGAAACACTTATTTAAAAAAAAAAAAGACCTTCAATATTTGCAATTTGCCAACTATAGTTTAAAACTTGCTCAATGTGCTCAGTCAAATGCTTATATGACAGCTTTAGGGGGACACCCCCGACACCCCACCCCTCTTTTGGGATAGTCCTGCTTCTAGGATGCTCAAGATGAATACATATTTTTGGCAAAACTAACTCTAATTAAACCGGGGGGAAGGGCACATGCTTTTATTATAACATTTTTTATATTGTTATTACATAAGTAATGAAAACAAAACACAGTATTTATTTACTGCTAGATGACAATAATTATTTGTTGAATAATTTTTAACTTTGTGTTATAATATAAGTTATGTACACGTTTACTATACAAAGTTAATAACTAAAATTGATGATAAACATAATTTTTAATTATGTTAATCATCAATTTTAGTTATTAACTTTATATAGTAAACGTGTACATAACTTATCTCCTTAGTGACTGAACTATGGAAATACGTTGTTTGAACTTATATTTTTATACTTTTATGCTGTTGTTTAAACGTTTAAACAATTTTATTTAGTTATTTGGGCTTATATATTTATATTTTGTATATCTGTATTTAATATAAGTTATATGAAATACTTATAATT